CTGCCAAGCTGTCCAGCCTGCCCGACCTCAGTTTGCCCCCAAAGCCAGTCTTTGTCGAAGGCTCCACGACTGGGAACAATGCTTCCGGTGCCCTGAACCTTGACACCAATGCCGCCGCTAAGAAGGATGACTCGCCCTCCAGCTCGGTCGGCGGTGGACTTTTTAATGGAAGCACCGCGGCTACCGATAAAAAGGACAGTGCCGATTTTGCCAAGCCCGTCACGCCCGTGAGTGAGGCCAACGGCGCCATCGACACGTTCCACAGCGCCTCCGGCGGCGGCAACGGCGGCGGCAACGGCAGCAGCGACAACAAGCCTACCACTGCACCCCTACCACTAATTGATGAGGCGCCAGCAGAGAAGCCGGGACCATCAGAACCTACTGCAACCAGCAGCGTCCCCACCGCTTCGGCCCCCTCCGTGACGCTCATCGCGCCGACGGCGCCCACCACTAATGGCAGTGCGGTGCCGTCCTTGCCATCCGGCCTGCCCCCCAAGCCAGCAGAGCCTTCTGCACCTTCTCAGGCAGCTGTACCTTCCGAACCAGCGAAGCCTGCCGAGCCAGCGATGCCCACTGAATCTATCACATCCGGCAATGCCGTCGTTGGTGAGAAGCGCAAGGCCGACGAAGCGGCCGACGACAAGTCCGCAGCAGCGGCTCCCGAAGCATCTGCTCCCGCACCCGTCAGCTCCCTCTTTGGCGGCTCCGCGGCTACTTCATCGTCACTCCCCGCCAAACCGCTTGCAGCCACCGTCGAGTCTGCCGATGACAGCGAGGACGGAGCATCCGCCGCCAAGAAGCTCAAGACCGACACCAAGGCCGAGACGGCAGCGGCTGCCGATGCGGCGCCCACATCCACTCCGGCTGCGCCGCCCGTCGAGGTCCCTGCGCCCTCGCCCGTCACTGTCGCGACCCCCGCTGCCGACCCCATCACAGCCCCTGTGGGCGCACCTGCTGGCGTGGCGCCTGCTCTCGAAGTGAACCTCGGGCCGGCTCCCTCGGCCGACGAAATCGCGTCGACCTCAACTACGGCCCCCGGCGTCAAAAAGAGCAACAGCCGCGCCAAGCGCGAGAAGAAGCCGCTTCCGCCTGTCGGTAAAACGGCACGCAAGACGCGCAGCCAAGGACCAGCGTAGGTCCCGCGTCGACACAACGTTGAGGAGCAAAATCCGTTTTCAGCATTGTATATGTAATGTACGGGAGGGTTCTTTCCGGACAGACATAACGAACCCGACAGCACAGTGAAACTATTAAAAGCACGACAAAAATAACAACAAAAAAAAAAAAAAAAAAAAAAAAAAAAAAAAAAAAAACTTAAATTAAAATACGAGAGGCCGGAGACATACCCCCAAGAAAACTAGGCGATCATGTCTGATCTGGTGCTCTCCTTATAGAAGGGATCGTGGGCCTATTCACATGCGTGTTTACGTCTTTATGTGGTTTCCTTTGCATGTTTCTTTTTCTGCATCCTCTATCTGGGGGAGGCAAGTATTGGTGGCAAGGCTGTATTTTGGAAAAACAAAAGGGAGAAAACGGGACCTTTGGATTGAGGAAACGCCAGTTGCAACTACGCGTATGATATTTATGCTTCGTTTTACTTTAATTCTTTCATGGCATTATTTGAATATGCATTTCGTGCTGGGTCTTTACGTCTAATTCGAATTTATGAGTTCTGCGAATTGTTATTTAATTACGGTCTCAGACCAATATTTCTTTGTCTTCTTTTATTCCATCGAGTTCATATTTTATCTTCTCTATTGCAAGCAGTGTCGTTATTATCATTTTAAGAAATCCAAATAAATAGAAACCAGCTCTATTTCACTATTGTTTAATTTTGTCTATGTTTTGCTGTATTTTCCTTTTCTTTTCCTGTTTTTTTTTTTTTTAAAAAAAAAAAAAAATCAGTGCTTAGTTTCAAAAATGATTCTCCCTTCTTCAAAGACAAAAATGTTTTATCCCTTCGTCTGGCAACTCCTGCGACGACACCTCTGCTAGATTTTCCCAAAGAAACGTAGCATTGAGCTCGTAAAATATCGAAAGTGCAAAGCATTAACGGAAAACAGTGGCTGAGCCTCTCCCTCGCGGCCAAGCCGAGAGCTCTGCATGTTTTCCCGTGTACGCCCTTTTGTACGTTGCAGCCGAATCCCAGTTACATGTTATGCCTTGTTTTGGGCATGCCAACATCGCCAACAATTTCCATTGCCTTACTCGTAAGGGTGTGCGATAATACATGGTCTCTCTAGATCTGTATTGGCGTTTTTCCAACTCTTTTGGCGAGCTGCAGTTTACAGCTTCGAAGCATGGGAGCCCTTTCGTTTGAAAACAAATGCAGCGAAAGGAACGCCAATGCGACTAACAAAAAATGCGATGAAATGATGTTATGCAAGGTTTGGAGGGCTTAGAAAGGTACAGAAGTATATGTCACCAACTGGTCAATTGGGCGGAAACTGCCATGCGGAAGCACACCCATGAGCGACCCTGGTCGCCTGTTGCCAAGACAAGCACAATAACCCTCGTATTCAGAACCAAACGGGACACGAAGACGGCGGGATCGCTGCATGCATGTTTTGCGTGGTTGCAATATGTGCCAATCCCCTTTGTGATTTTGTTCCTTTGCTCTGGTTCCCTTGGTTTTAGTTTAATTTGATTTGCCAGCAATTGCCAACCAGCGATGCGATGCAGGTTCTCTCATCTGCACGTTATTTCGTAAAAGGCAAGCTGCTATATTTATCTCTTTTGCTTGAACTCTGAGATAGTACGCCACGTGGAAGAGATAAGCAAACCTATGCAGCCCAAGAACAGGATCACCAGGAACAAGAACAAGACTAGGAAGACGGAAGCAGGAACAACAACTGCAACAAGAACAAAATCAAATAGATCTGGAAGGAAACCAAAGATCACACGGCATGGAGCCTCCACAAATGGGAGGTTGAACCAGATGACCCTGTCGACCGCTAGTTCGCGAGGTCACCGTTGTCCCAAAGAGTAAGACAACCCAAGCTCGTGATGCACCAGCACATCCGCGTGGCCCGCAATCGTGACAATTGTTTACCCTCCAGTCGATTTGATGCCTCTTTTGCGTCAGTGCGTTTTGGATACGACGGTTGGTAGATGCGTCGACCTTTGCCGTTTGTAAAAGGCCACGACTCTCGGCTCTGGAGGACAAAACAAGCTTGTCTTGAATATGGAGCATGACTCCGGTTGCGTTTACTATCGCGACAAGAGGCCTCTTTTTGACATTTCTTCGTATCCGGCCCGCAGTGTTAAGCCAGGCAGTCCTGCTTGCCGGGGGTGGGATGGGCTGGCTCGGCCGGTTTCGAGTTTCATCTGTCGGCTGCTGGTGACAAGACGTACGCCAACCTCTATGCTTTAGCAGTATCTTCACCACTGACGTGGGCTGATGTGGGCTTATGTGGGCTTTTGTTGACGTGGAAAAACGGCCCCTCACAACGGTTCACATCCGCTGGACGGGCAGTATTCGTGGCCATTTGCTAGCAAAGCAAAGGCCAAAAGGGTCCCGAGTGCGTCTTACTTTGGCCAGACCGTGAATGTCTGCCAGGGGCAAACCGGACACAGGCCGCCGTCGGAATGGTGGATGGCAAAAATAGAAACTTTATTGGAGCACTTGACATGATTTTTGCAGAGCTTTTCATCTTCAGTGTAACAAAGTGCATGGACAAGCGCAACCAACCCCAGTTCTTTCCAGTTCCAGTTCCAACGCCACCCCACTTATGCCCTCCTTTCACTCCCGCCCCCTGGCGAATACGAAGAAAAACGCGTCGGGCGGGCTTCGTTAGTTCTCAACGTTAGTCCAGGGGGTGCTGCCAGGCTCCAGGCTCCAGGCAACTTTGAGACAAGGTCGCTAGCAGTTTTTGTTCCGCGGGTCGCCTAGCGTCCAGAGATTCAGGTACCTGTAGGCTACTGTGTTTAGTGCAAAAGAGTGGCAGTAGGCAAACGATGGCTCTTTCCATGGACTGCCAGGACTTGCCGTCCCAGTTTTCCTGTGCTACTTCCTTCCGCCCCTTTTACACGTTCAGGGACAGGAAAGCACACGACACAGCATCGGACGTGAGCCTAACGCGCACCGAAACAACCGGCGCGCGTACCAAGTAGGCTCTCGCGCGTACACATGCGCCGTAGTGGTCAAAGTATTCCAGTATCGATACAAGGCACGGAGTCCTCCGCGCTTCGTAGAACTTTTCTGTGAAGTGGAGTAGTCTAAATGCAACAAAAAAGGAAAGAAAAAAAGGCAACAACGGTCGACTTGCCGGTCGGTCGACCCTTCCAGATGTTCTGGATTGTGCCTTTTCCACTCTTTCCCACAGCCGTTGACGCGGGCAGGTGCCATCCACTCCCTGCCTCCGGGGCCTTTTTGGTCCACTTCTTTCCCTCACAGTGCATCCAGGCCTTTCCACGTCAACAGAAGAAATACCCAGATACCCATATACCCTAGCATTTTCGCCATCTGTGCAGCATTCCCTTGCATTTGTCTACCCACCACCCCTGCATCACATCGCCTCGCCTCGCTTCGGTCGTCCCATCCACACCACCACAGTATGCGCGGGAAAACGAAGACGTTGCGTTTCCAGTTTTCTTTGGCGTGCCTTTCCCGTTTTGTCCTTGTTCTGTTTCTGCTGATCACTCTGGGCATCAGCCATTTTGTACTTTTTATCGGTTTGGATTTCTCCGCGATTCACTCGTTCTCGTATCGACCTCTCGATCTGCCGCTCGCTTCTGGCCTCTCTTTTTCGTGTCTTTGTCGTCTCTTCTTTTGTCCTCTTGTTTCCTGTTCTTTCGTCCCACGCTTTGCTTTCGGCATCACACTCGAAGCCCCTTTTCTGTGGTCTCTCTTTGTCCGACTAGCAGCCTGAGCCGACCCTCAAACTGATCAGCGAACCTCGCGACGATCACTCCCCCCATTCTTCGACGGGCTCTTGGTACGGACGCCAGCCTTCTCCCGAAATAATTCCTCTCGCAAGCCCGCGTCACGTCACCACTGCTCAGTCGTACTGTGTCGCCTCGTGAGTTGAGGCAAAGGGGAACGTCCCAGAGAACACGACATCGCCCATCTCTTCCCGTCTGTCCTTCGCTTCGATCACGACTGTCACCACGACCTGACCTGCAAGCAACCTCGTTTTGTTGCTGTGGTGTGCGCTCGTTTCTTCTTCCGTCGATTTGGAGATCCGTTCGCTTGCTGCTCCTTTGTTCGACGACATTTTGTTTCCCTGTGACCTTATTGTCTTTCTTTTTGGTCTTGTCTCAAAACGGCGCCAGGAACCAACAGTCACCAGTCTCTCGCAAGCGGCCGCCATCTCTTTGTTTGTTCTTCGCGACCCCTGAAACCTCGGAGTCAACGCTCACAGCCGCGTCCCAACTTCGACTTTATTAGTTGCCGTCCTCCCGTATTCCGCAAGTTTGCATTGTTGACGTCAATACCCTTTTAACGAACTATCCAACGAACTGTCGACAATTGCAGCCGCCGAGCCCTTCTTCCCGCCCTCTACAACAGGTCTGTATCAGCCGGTTCTGATTCACCCGTTCACTTGAGAGGCCAACAATACACTGGAAACCAACCCCAATATATACTTCGTGGCTGTGATAGAAAACCCACACGAGAAATCAGGGACCTTCCGAACCGCCTTGGTATCCTGCCGCCCGGCCTCCCTGTCACTCTCCCACCTCGGCACTCTTTTTGTCGGACACCTCTCGTCGCCTTTTCGGTCGACGCTGCGACGGAAAGCGCACACACATACACAATGGATTTAGCAACAAAGACATTACCACTCGTCTTCGGTCGAGAAACAACAGCAACGTCGACAAGCGCCGCCGACGAGCTGCTGCTGCTGCTCCAAAACCCATTTGGCTCACAGCTGCAGGTCGGTTCCATTTGGGCCTCCGTTGGCACATCCTTCGGCGTCACTGCCGGCGTCGCCCTCCTCTTCTCCCTTATCCGCCCATACCACACCGTCGTCTATGCCCCCAAGCTCAAGCATGCCGACGAGCAGCACGTCCCACCGCCCATGGGCAGGGGCGTCTTTGCATGGGTCGGCCCGTTGTGGAAGACCAACGAGCAGGACCTAATTCGCATGGTGGGCTTGGACGCTGCTATCTTCATGCGCTTCACCCTCATGTGCCGCAACATGTTCCTGGTTCTGGCCGTCATCGGCTGCGCCGTCCTCATCCCCATCAACTACACCAACAGCGTCCGCTATGGCAACGACGTCTGGATTTCCATGCTGGGCCCCGCCAACGTTTTTGGCAACCCGCAGTGGGCCACCTCCATCATCGCCTGGGTCATCAACATTGTCGTGTGCGTTTTCCTGTGGTGGAACTATCGGAAGGTTCTCACACTGCGGCGGCAGTATTTTGAGAGCCCGGAGTACCAGATGAGCCTCCACTCGCGGACGCTCATGTTGTACGACATCCCCAAGCAGATGGGCTCCGACGAGGGCATTGCCCGTATCATTGACGAGGTCGCGCCTAATTCGTCGTTCTCGCGCACGGCCATTGCCCGCAACGTCAAGGTCCTCCCCGAGCTCATCAAGGAGCACGACAAGGCCGTCCGTGCCCTCGAAAAGGTCCTCGCCAAGTACCTCAAGGACCCCCAAAACCTGCCGGCCGCCCGGCCCCAGTGCAAGCCGTCCAAGAAGGACCACTCCTACGACACCTACCCCAAGGGCCAGAAGGTCGACGCCATCGAGTACCTGACCCAGCGCATCAAGGACCTCGAGATTGAGATCAAGGAAGTGCGCCAGAGCGTCGACAAGCGCAACACCATGTCCTATGGTTTTGCCTCCTACTCGGACATCAGCGAGGCCCATTCGATCGCCTATGCCGCGCGCAAAAAGCGTCCTCAGGGCGCCACGATCCGCCTGGCCACACGACCGAACGACATTATCTGGGACAATCTGCCGCTCACTGCCGCCACCCGGAGCCGCCGCCGTTTCATGAACAACCTCTGGGTCGCCCTGCTTACGCTCCTTTGGGTCGCCCCCAACGCCATGATTGCCATTTTCCTCGTCAACCTCAGCAATCTTGGCCTCGTTTGGAGCGCCTTCCAAACGCAGCTCGAGACCAATACGCACTTTTGGCAGCTGGTGCAGGGTGTGGCGTCGCCCGCCCTCACATCTGCTGTCTACCTTTTGCTGCCCGTCCTCTTCCGCCGCCTCGCCATCCAGTCGGGCGACCAGACCAAGACCGGCCGCGAACGCCACGTCCTGGCCAAGCTGTACTCTTTCTTCGTCTTCAACAACCTTGTGATTTTCTCCCTCTTTAGTGCCGTGTGGGGCTTCATCTCGGCTGTTTTGGACAAGACAAGCACCGGCGAGGACGGCTGGAAGGCCATTGTTTCCGAGAAGCCTGGTGACTACCTGCTGAGCGGTCTCTGCAACATCTCGCCTTTCTGGATTACCTGGCTCCTGCAGCGCCAGATGGGCGTCGCCGTCGATCTTGCTCAGCTGTGGCCGCTCTTCTGGGGCTTCATTACGCGCAAGGTCTCCAGCCCGACGCCGCGCGAGATGATCGAGCTGACGGCCCCTCCACCGTTTGACTACGCCAGCTACTACAACTACTTCCTCTTCTACTCGACCGTGGCTCTTTGCTTTGCCGTCGTCCAGCCTCTCGTCCTTGCCGCGGCTGCCATCTACTTTGCGATTGATGTTGTGCTGCGCAAGTACCTCATTCTCTACGTCTTTGTCACCAAGACGGAGTCGGGTGGTGTCTTCTGGCGCGTCCTGTTCAACCGCATGGTTTTTGGCACGATTCTTGCCAACCTCGTCGCCTTCCTCATCGTCTTTGTCCGCGGCAACGCAAACCACTTCCAGGCCTACGTCATTGCCCCCCTCCCCTTTCTTATGGTCGCCTTCAAGTGGTACTGCGCCCGCACCTATGACGACAAGATGCAGTACTACACCACGCAAAACGTCATGGCCAACCCGGAGGCCGGCCTCGATATTGCCAACAAGGAGAACCTGCGCAGCGACCGCCTGGCCGCTCGCTTCGGCCACCCTGCCCTCTACAAGCCGTTGATCACGCCCATGGTGCACGCCAAGGCCCAGAACATCCTGGCCAGTGTGTACTCGGGCCGCTTGACGGCCGGCCGCGAGGCTGGCTCGGGCGACAGCGCTTCTGTCTCTGGCTACTCGGACACGTATGCGATGGACCCCATGAACGCCAAGCGCCCTGGCAAGGCCGCCGGGGCCGTTATGCCCGGCTTTGAGGTCGTGCCGGAGTCGCGCCTGGACTTTGAGTACTACAAGAACCGTGACGAATTCGCCGATGAGCACGGCGGCGGCGAGATCTTTGGCACCGCACGCGACCTTATCCGCCCCGGCACACCTGGCAGCATGATGGGTGCTACCGACTCACGGCCAGGCACTCCGGTCGGCGGCATGACGGGACGTCGGCAGTTCTCCACAAACACGACGGCCTATGGTGGCGGCGGCCGTATGGGTAGTATGGGAGGTGGTCCCGAGACGGGCACGATCTACGAGCCCGGCTATAACAAGCCTGGCATTCCCAGTCCCCCGATCGCCAACCAGTCTCAACCCATTATCAACCCAGTGCGCACGCGGTCGCCCTCTCCCTATGACGGCATGCGCTCAACATCACCTGGTCCCAATGTGTTGCTGGGCACCGGCCTCGAGTCGTCGCGGTCACGGTCCCCTATGTATAGCGCCGGCCATAGTGGCAATGACAGCCTGAGCGACCTGGTCGGCAACGCCGCCGCCATGCCGGTGGCCGCGCCCATTCCTCGCCGTGCGGTTCCCGGCTACTCGAGCAACAACGGCTCGTTCAGCACGCGGCAAGCGAGCGGGCCCGCCCCCGGTATGTACGGCGGCGGTCCTGGCGGCTACGGCAATCTGCCGCAGGAGGAGCTGGAGCAGGACCCTACGCATTATGACTACTTCCGCGGCGGCAATCGCCCCGCACGGCGCGAGACCAGCAACACTACGCCGAGTAACCAGAGCCGTGCCAACCTACCGCAGGGGGAGCCGGGCCAGGACCCGACGCAGTACAACTACTTCCGGGGCGGTAGCCGACCGCAGCGGCGTGAGACGAGCAACGTCTTGCCGAGCAACGCGAACCAGCAACACAACTACCCGGGCAGCAATAGCCGCAGCAACACAACGGGCGGTATGGGCCGACCACCGCCGAGCTAGGCGCTCGACGACACTCCAGGTCACTACCCAGCCGCGCCGCCACGCGTCCAGCGAAGCCGAAGCAATCTGCATCGCGAACTATGGCGACGTTGAGTGCTTTGTGGCATTGACTTCTCTTTCCTTTCTTTGCTTTTGATCTGCGCCCTTTTTTACCCAACTTACATTATATTGTAATCTTTTCCTTTATGACTTCGCGGCCTGAACTGGTCGTCAGAGCACGAAGCCATAAATGCAAGATTTATGTCGTTTATACTTTCCTATTTTGTCTTCTGACTCTTGATTATTTCCCCCTTTTCTCCTTTGTCCATTTGCCATATCATCAAAGCTATCCGGTTTGCATTCTTTCCTTAGAAGACTCTCTTGTTTGTCGGTCAGCTTGGCAAGCGCGGCCAGAATGGCCTTGTTTGAACTTGTCATTACATAGAATGGAGGTAGCGGTCACACAAGCGGCACATAATTAGCGCGTTCCTAAGATACGGGAACGACTCAGCGAAGAATGAATTTCTTTTTTTCTTCTATATACGATCTATTATGCGTGTAGACTTTATTTTTGCGGACGTAAACAGAATGTTTCTATGCGGTGCGTCTATGTGATATCTCTGGGTCGTTTGGTCTTCGTGACAAATGAAACAAGAAAAGCAGCAACAGACAAACAGCCAATTAACGGGCATATACATTAAGGGAACATGAAAAAATCAAAACAGCAAAGAAATAAAAAACATGGAACTTTTGCGCTCTTCTCTGGCCCACTGGGCCTCGGCCCCTTTGCTCATCACCACGTCACAGCATCACGGCGATGGACACTGGCCGCCCATGACGTTGTGGTGGTAGAGGTACGCCTCCATGCACCCGCGCAGATGCGCGGCGGCGGCCAGGACCACACACACGTGGAAGATCTGGTGCGAGCTGCCCCAGATGTCAAAGCGGCCCGGCCGCCACTTCTCGGGCCACCGTGCCGCATACAGAAACGCCCCCGCGACGTACAAGGCGCCCTGGAGCAGCACCCAGTTGAGGCCCATGCGCTCGTTGAGACGCGCATACCGTGCCGCCCACGCATCGGCGGCGCCACCACCGGCCTCGTCCGCCTCGAGGAGCAGCAGGCCGTGCAGAATGGGCACGACGCCCGACATGCCCAGGGCGACAAAGAGCAGAGCACGGTACCGGCGCCAGGCGGGCGTGCGGAAGTGCTCGAGCCACGAGACGGCCAGGCAGGCCAGGCCCAGCAGCACAATGAGGTACAGGTAGACGGCCAGCCAGCGCGGGTGGCAGAAGAAGCCGTAGTAGAGGGTGGGCACGTAGCTGCCGACGATGAGAAACACAATGCCCGAGTAGTCGAGCTTGTTGCCCCAGCGGGCGACGGCGGGGCTGTGGTTGCTGAGGGCGTGGTAGGTGGCGCTCATGCCGAGGCAGGCGACGGCGCCGGCGGCAAAGCAGCTGAGCACGAGCGTCGACGACGCCGTCTCGCCGGCGGTGGCGGCGTTGCCTCCAGCGGCCGCTGCCGTGACGGCGTGGTACTGGGCCACGCCCAGGAGGCGGAGCGCGGCCGCCCCCGCCGCCGACAGCTGGGCGCTGGCCGCCCGGCCGAGCCACAGACTCGGTGTCGGCAGGTAGTCTGCGACGAGGGCGCCGACCGCCCCGGCGAGCCGTGCGCCGATCGCGCGGAGGTGCGCGGCCACGCCCTGGGGCAGCGGCCACAGCAGCACGTCGGCGATGCTGGGCAGCTCGTCGACGTACAGCGCCACGCCCAGCAGGGCCGCCACGAGGGCGCCGGCCAGGTGCGTCCAGATGTTGACCGACTCGTTGTGGATGCCGAGGACGCTGGCCAGGGAGGCCACGTAGCTGTGCGAGGTCGGGCGGTAGCCGCCGAGGATGTAGACGTTGTCGCGGCGCCACTCGGGCAGGTCGTCCCAGTGCAGCAGGGCGTAGGCAACGCGCTTCACGGACCGGCCGCTGGACGTGCTCACATTGCTGCCGTGGCGGCTGTGCGTAAAGCCGGTCCGCCCAGCGCCGATGCTCTTGCTGTCCGGTCCTGGGTCCGTCTGTGTGCCGAGACTGTGGATGCTGCTGATGCTGCTGTTTTTGCTGTGCCCGCTCGAGTCGTTCCCACTGCTGGTGCCGATGCCGCCACTTGTGTTGCGCATGGCCGTCTTTTTCGGCTGCCGGCCCCGACTGGGTTTGTGTTTGGACGGCATCTGTATCCGCGCGTGTGTATGTTTGTGCTGCGCGGGCAGGGCGGTATGTGTTATGCGCGTTGTATTGCAGGTTGCAGATTCGGTCTGCAGGTGGGCCAGGCCGATTTGCGGAGAGCTTTCAGGAGGCTCGGTGGTTGGTGGCGCAAAAATGCAAGTCGCGATAGCTACGCCCGAGCAATGCGCAAAAAATAAGGAGCGGTTGCGAGGTCTTCCTGGTAAGGTGGATTGACTTATATAGAGAAGAATGCAGTTCCAGAACAGCAAGAGTCTTGCAAGAGGCGACTACAATGGAAAATGAAGATAAACCTTCGGCTCTTGTCCGTCTCAACATTTAAGCTTGCCTGTGACGTTGGATTTTGTTGGGAGGTTGGTGTCAGAGTGAAAAATTAGTGGGCTTTTCGTAGTGACAGGGGCCTAGCGGTAGGCTGTTTTCACCCTGCAGACCTAACGTTTCTCTCCACCTCGGCTGCTGCCGCCTCTGAAACCCGTATTCGTTCCAAGGCTCTCCGGTGGCTGGGGGGGACTCTGGTGTTGGTCCCTGTCTACAGGGGCTTTAGGAGGTGTTTGGTGAAAGGTTTTGACTGCTGCCTCGTGGAGAATTTTAGCGCCATCAGCCCCTTTTTGCATGTGAGGAGCCGCTTTCAGGGACCTAGGCCTGGCCCAAGTTTAAGTGGTTGCATGCAGTAATTAACGAGCGACCAACCACTGAACAAAAGTGCGGTAGGCACCACCGAGATGACATAACGACATAGTCTTATTCGACCACCTTCAGTCCCGAAGATAAAGCTATTGTTTCAAGTGCTGTGTCTATTGCTGCTCGCAGGTGAAAATAGTAAAGAAAAAGGTAAAAACAGTCGATGCCATGTGTCTAGCGCCATGTAATTCCAAAGACAAAAGAGAGAGAGAAATGAAGCAGCAGTCTGAAGTGCGCAAGGAGCAGCAGTTCGGCCACGCCTGGCTCCCCGTCTCCGCATGACGTGAGTTTGCAGCTTTGGTGATCGATGCGCTCCTCTCACGGGCCAGGCCACCCTGACCTTCGCCGTCCTCACGTCACATCGTCGCAGGTCGTCGTCAGGGTGCGTATTTGTCGGCTCTCGTCTGCGCGGTCGTTCGTTGCTCGTTTTCTCGTTTGCTTTGCTCGTTTATTTCTTGCCGCTCTTCTTGATGCCCTGGTTGCCCGTGTTCAGAGGGCCCTTGCCCTTGGCCTTGTCAGCCAGGTCCTTGCGTGCCTTCTCGTCTGTAGTCCATATGTCAGCATGTGCATGCTACCCATCGCACCATCGCCGCTGTGATCGGCACGAGCCAGTGCCACCATAGGGCCACTCACCAGCGCGCTTCTTCTCGAGGAAAGCCAAATCGTCCTCGTCAAGCTCCTTCTTGTCCTTCTTGGCCGCCTTGAGGGGCTTGACCTTGCCACCTAGAACGAAAATGTCAGTGCTATGTCCAGTTCCACAAAGTCTCCGTCACGACTGTCACGACTGTCACGACTGTCACGATGCCACGGTCCTCCACATACCTTCACGGTTAGCACCACCCATCTTGTCTGTTTTTGGAGTATGTGGAGAGTGGTAGAAGAGAAAACGAGCGTTGTTGGCCGGGTCTAGCGGTGCTCTGTCAGGCGGCTGCCATCAACGGAGAGGAAGAGAGAGAAGGCTGTGAGAAAATTTCCCCGCGAGACTGCGACTAACGATTTGGCACGCGCCTGCCGCTCTCGGCTCACACAGTGAACGGATTAATAAGACGCCGGACGGGCCCACTGGCCAATCAAACCGCATTGCGCCACCCCAGACCTGCGACCCTTTGAAACTTTTGCTTCTCGCTGGCTTCCGTTAGGCACCACTCGCACCTGCCTGTATTACTTATCACCAGTTGCATCCAACCAACTTCCATTTCAGGCGTCTTGTCGTCGACCTCTCCCAACAAATTCATCGCCATTGAGGCTATTACTGGCCTGCGCTTCGATACATCGGCGCACCGCATCGCGCACAATCGTCGACAAACGCATATCCGTCTCAAGCTCGCCAGCGACCGCTCGCGTGACGCAAGCAGTGATTGCATCGTGCTTGCCGCTCTGCATCGATCTGTCCAGACTCTCCGGCGCGGCGTATGACTCGGGCCAATGTCCTGAGTTTTTCCTGATAGATCCAGAGGATTTGATCCGGTTCGGTTCCATTCTCCCCCAGATAGAAGTAGCAGACACGAAGGAGGGAAGAGGAGGAAAGAGAAAGCAGCGACGAGGCACCGTGCGCCACCGCTTAATATTGCTCTTGGTGAGGTTGCTGGGGATTCAAGAGAAGAACTGCATTTTGGCTGACACTTGGGACCTCTCACGTCTTCGTTCCCCCGCCACTTCAGCTTGACTGCGGATCGTCCTGCTGGCGTCTGCAAAAGAACACAAGAGACACCAAAGACGAGAAACATAAAGACAAGAGACATCGTCGTCCAACCACCCAACATGGCCTCTCCCAGTTCGAGTGCCGACGAAGGCGAAATCGTCGAAAGACAAAGCGCCGGACCGTATTACAAGGCAAAGACATCTGCTGCTACTTCTTCTGTCAGGCCAGACGATGGCGGAGATCGTTTCAATGTTGACCGTCGCAACAGAATTTCTCGGGGCAGATCACCACGCTCGCCCGACCGGCTGTCCGGTGGCAGCTACCCGTATCGAAACGGCAGTGGCAACGCATCACCTCCCCGCGGCCAGAAACGCCCGCGGGACGACCGCGACGGCCGTGACTCGCGTTGGCCCGCTAGCCGAGAACGAGGCGACCGCGACCGTTACGACTACGACGATGGACCGCGACGCCGCGACGGCCGTCTCCCCGATTGGGACCGCTACGAACGCGAGGACCGCAGCGATCGGGGCGATCGGGGCGGTCGTGGCGGGCGCGGTGGCCGCGACCGCGACGTACTAAGCTACGATGACGACGGCGGCCGATATAACCGAACCGCTGCTGGAAAGCGACAGCGCACGCGCAGCCGATCCCCGCCCCCATCACATCCGTCGTCGCTCCGTGGCAATGGTAACGGTTACGGCAACCGGGGACGCGACGAGCGCGACCGCCGTGAGGATAACATCCGCGATCGTGACTTTGACCGTAACCGTGACAGGAACTCTCACAGGGACGACCGTGACCGAAACGCTGACCGAAACTGGAACCGCGATCGCGGCAGTCGCTTTTCGGATCGTGGCACTACACCTAACCATGATCGCCACGCCGGAGGCTCGCGCAACGAAGACAGCCGTGCCCCCACCCAGGGGCCTCCTGAGCCTGCACCGGCGCCAGCGCCAGCACCAGCGCCAGTACCCCAGGAGGACTGGGTCGAGCAGGCACCCATCGACGAAGAAGCCGAGATCCAACGGCGCCGCCAGCGCCGCCTGGAGATTCTCCAAAAGTCGCGCGCCTCCACGCCCATTGTGGCCCTCTCCAACGCCGCGTCCACACCTGGTGATACTGCGTCTCCGGCCAGCCCGTCCGTCGCGTCCCCTCGTGACCCCAACGACACGGCCGAATCGATGAACTTGGCCAACGACCAGGACTTTATGAACATGCTAGGCAAGCAGAACACCGGTGGATCGGCCGATGCAAACACCAACAACGCCGAAGACGGTCCGTCGGCCGCCGACTACGATCCCACGGTCGACATGGAAGAAGACGAGCGCCGCGACAAGCTCCAGCATGGCGGTACCGTCGCGGGCTTGCACGGTGCTACGCGTCGCACGTCACTTCTGGCAGCCGTTGACGCCAAAGACGTCCAGGCTGCCCAGGCAGCTGTCGCAGAGGAGCCCAAAGCAGACAAAGACGCCGCCAACGGCGCGGACGATGAAGACAACAAGGACGACGAGGACGACATGTTTGCCGAAGACTTTGTCGAGAAAAAGTACGAGGCCAGCAATGACGACGACGTCGGCGCTGGCAACGAGGGGGCCCTGGCCGTCGGTGCTGCACTTCCGGCGGCGGCAGCCAACGGCGGCGGCCTCCTCGACGGCGACGACATGCAAGGCTACTACAAGATTCGGCGCGGCGAGATCCTGGACGGCCGCTACCAGATCCAGTCGGCGCTGGGCAAGGGCATGTTCTCGGGCGTCGCGCGCGCGTGGGACATTACCTCGCCGGACAAGCGGCGCGAGGTGGCCATCAAGATCCTGCGCAACAACGACGCGCTGCGCAAGGGCGGCTACACGGAGATTGCCATTCTGCAAAAGCTCAACGAGGCCGACCCGGGGCACAAGAAGCACATTGTGCAGTTTGAGCGCGCGTTTGACTTCCGCGGCCACCTGTGCATGGCCTTTGAGAACCTGTCGATGAACCTGCGCGAGGTGCTCAAAAAGTTTGGCAACAACGTCGGCATCAACCTGCAGGGCGTGCGCGTCTACGCGTACCAGATCTTTGTGGCGCTGGCGCACATGCGCCGCTGCAGCATCATCCACGCCGACCTGAAGCCCGACAACATCCTGGTCAACGACAACCGCAGCACGCTCAAGATTTGCGACCTGGGCACGGCCATTGACCGCTCGGACGCGGCGACGGCGCAGACCGAGGTCACGCCGTACCTGGTGAGCCGCTTCTACCGCGCGCCCGAGATCGTGCTGGGCATGCCGTACGACTACGCGGTCGACATGTGGTCCATCGGCTGCACGCTCTACGAGCTGTACACGGGCAAGATTCTGTTTACGGGCGAGAGCAACAACCAGATGCTGCGGGCCATTATGGAGATCCGCGGCAAGATCAGCGCAAAGCTGTACCGGCGCGGCCAGCTGTGGCCGCAGCACTTTGACGACAACGGCGGCTTCCTGAGCCAAGAGCGCGACAAGTTTCAAGGAAAGGTACGTGGTTGCTTGTTATGTTGCCCTTGTTTTTTTTTTTTTTTTTTTTTTTTTTTTTTTTTTTGTTCTTCTCTATTTTCAGCATGCATTTCAGCCGTCCCCTCCATTACCCGCCCGGGCTTCCAGCTATCCACGCTCATTTACCCTGCATGCATATTGCAAGCGCGCCGCACTGTGCCGCATTCTCCTGAAAGGATTCGGATTCCAACATCGCGTGTGGTTCTGTTGGTGTCACCAACACGGGCGTTCCAAGGCGCTTCACATCACTCCGAGGCCTTCTGTGCCTCATCGCAGAGTGATTGCATGTCGTTGGCGGCCAATCGTCCCTCCATTCCCTGCCTCAACCGGCGCGGCCGCCGGCTGGGCCGCACGCTGCTTTTGTTCTTGCCCCTCTGTATCTTGTCTCTGTTTTGGGTCATGTCCAGTCATGTCCATTGCTAACTGCTCCTAGACCACGATCAAAACGCTGCCCGTCATCAAACCGGCACGAGACCTGCGCACCCGCCTCCAGGCGGCATCGGCCGGCATGAGCGAGGCCGAGTCCAAGGACCTGCAGCTGTTCCACGACCTGTTGGACCGCTGCCTCAACCTGAACCCAGACAAGCGGATTCTGCCGAGCGACGCGCTGCGGCATCCCTTTTTCACGGCCCGGGCAGGACAGAAGTGAGAGTTCGACGAGAGGGACGTGGGTACGACGAACGACGGCAGTCGCCGAGGATGGCATCCGTTTAGCAAGGCGTTTTACTTATTGCTATTTTTTGTCTTTTAGTCGGAGGGTGTTTGCATTTGTTCTTCCCGGGATGCATTGTACGGTTTGCAACACGTTGGCGGGTTTTCATTTTCATTTTCATTTTTTATCTGCAGCGACCTACTAGACCGAAAAAATAGACGAAAAACAAAGGCAAAGCGAATGCGAATGCAACTTGTGTATGTGGGAAGCGTCTGGTCCGGCTTGCCTACCAGCATGGCCCGGTGATGTGTCGTCTTCGGGATGTTTCATGGGGTGCAAAAGGAATAACAAGCCCAGAGCAGCCACTCTCACTACTGCCCTTCCCTCTCGCGCATGGCCCTCGATCTGTGCAAGCTGGCCTTGCAGGCCCGTCCTCCCATGTGATCTATCTGCAACTTTCCTACTTCATTTCCTGTCGCTTCGTCTCACAGTCGGCCGCTCTCGCATGGCTGACCATCACGTCCGTAGGATCCTCCTTTCGAGGTAGCGTGAGCTGTCATTTTAGTTTGGCCCGTCATTATCGTTTCCTTCTCTCTGCAGAGCGACCATCCTATGCACTCTCTATTTGCCTGCCATTCAAATCCTCAAAAGACACGCAGGAGGGGCTGGGGAGACGAGACGGAGTGGCTGAGATATGAAGAACAGCGTACTACGGGCCACGAGAAATCATGTGCTTTCTGTGTGATCACTATGGCGGTTGTGTAACGAGGTAATTACGCACCTACGGAATGGCGGTCAACGGGCGGTTCAAGACAGGCTCGGCTGGACCGTCAAATTGTCAAAATGCATACAAACAATAAATAAATCTTGGAACAAAGCGCAATTCGAGCCGACGTACTTGACGCTGTTGACCCGAGTGACACGTGTCGAGAGACCAGAGGAATAGAGCCAGCGGCTGGAAGCAAGACCATCAAGGCCACATCTGACAATAGCGAGACAGTATTCGTGGTTGTCGTCGCCAGTCGTCTGGAAACAATAGACGAGGTCGGGCGTGTTCTCGTTCTTTTCCTTCCTCCACGGGAGACACTTGGTACGAGGTGTCGGGTCAGGGGGTTTCTCGAGGGCACAAAACACGCAAATGGACACGACAGTGACGATTCATAATACACAAGAAGGGGCGGCTTGGGTGGTTGCAGGCGTACGAGAACGCAGGAAGATTACGCGAGTGTATGCGATTGAACTGTGTTTACACGAGAAGACGAGAACCACTTTAAACGGACTAGCATCGACGATCATTCGGCTGCAGCCTTAAGCCACTAAGATAATACAAGTATCAGAGAGACTAAGGTATGTGAGACCAGGGCACACGGCGGGTCGTCGACTGCGTTAACAAGAGCGAGTGGTCGTAGAGTGGTCGTAGAGTGGTCGTTGAAACAAAAGTCCGTAACGTTTTATATTGACAGTATTTTCGTTTTCCTACAAAGTTATGTTTATAATTATTATAAATTTGTTTTTTATTATCAAAATGCAGTGGGATGCCCCGCCCTGCTCTCACCGCTTATCTAACAAACGGTGATGGACATCCGTGCCTGAGGTAGAGCTTCCCCTGCCATTCTGCAGCATTTTCTCACAGTCGGAGGACTCAAGGCTGCCACGAGGACGTCCGATTCAAGGTCCTGTCAAATTACCTCTCCTTTCCTGTCGTGTAGGTGCTTGTACGTCTCGGGACTCGCTCTCATTATGTATCTCATGGACCCTTGGCCCACGATGCCAGATGGCACCGACTTTGACGGGAAGAAGCTATTCAGCTTAATCCGTAGTGGTGGGAGCCCCTTTGACGGAGCGTGGGACGTTCATCGGCTCATTGACGAGATCGAGGAGAATCTCGGCACCGAGGTGATTGATATCCCGTTTGTCTACAATGGCTCCAACAACTACGTAAGTTGTTCACAATCCTCGCAGTCCGATTCCAGTGGAGACTGAGGCTAAATGGGGCAAGGGTTTCCACGTCAGGCTGTCGAATCGAGCGGACATTGTGGCACGTCTCGCACGTGGCGATGTCAACATGCCCAACTTTGACGGCTTCCCCATCGATGTGCAGATCCCCGAAGTCAAGTTCGAGGCGGCGGTGTACAAGCTCTTGCGCGCAGAGCCGAACATCTTGGCCTCTCATCTGCTCTACCATCGTAGTCCGCTCCAGCGCACTGGCCCGCGGCTTGATGTGCCCAAGGACATCGTTGGCCGTCGGCTGTTTGTGTTTGAAAGAGCAGAAGGAGAGAACAACATATGGGGCGATCTCGGCGCCGAACAGCGGGCAAGTTTCATGTGTGTCCTCTGCCCAGAGCGCTCTTTCGCTAATCCAGTCGTCCCCCTCTAGGCCAGCCTTCTGACCCAATCTGCTCGTATCCGCGCGTCGCTGTTCAACTTCCAGCTCCCGCTGGACTTTGCCGCGTTTTGGCTCCGCGAACGCCTCTTTGAACAGAAGCCCGCGTCGCTCCCTCGTCCCGTTGCGTCCACCCGCGAGTTCTGCGTTGCCCTTTTCACGGCCAAGGTCGAGGCAACCATCAGAAACCTGGGTGACATGATCGGCTGGGAGGACGACAACAACGTCGTGGGCCCCATCGCTTCCGCGGCCAAGCAATCCCTCCTGCGCCTCATCCCGCACATCCTGCCTGCGGATGGCAACCAAGCAGAAGCCTCTGTCTATCGTCTGGTTCTGGAGCACGGCGACTTTGGCATCCACAACATGTCGATTGCGACGGACGCAAACAACAACCCGCTCGTGACGTCCGTGTACGACTGGGAAACGGGGTGCATCGTGCCCGCCCTCTTGTCCGATCCGCTGATGGCCGTGTTTGTCGACCTTGCGGCGGACGAGACGGCCGGCCCTTCCATCACGCGCGTGCCCGGCGACGCCACGCCAAGCGACCGCGCGCGGTACATGGAATGGTCGCAGCAGTACTTTGACGTACGTCCCCCGTCCACTTCTTTCTCCGTATGTAGGAAACAGAGTGATTAACCGCACTTGTCCGCGCAGGCTCTCTTCCATCATGCGCCTGACTACAAACGTGCCATCCAGGCAGGGAAAGACGCACGGCACCTCTGGTTTGCGCTGCGAGACTGGCGAGGTGACGACCCGGAGAAATACTTTGGTGATCTGGGGAACTGGGCTGAAATAAGGATGAAGGAGCTTGGTGTGGCGTAGGTATTCTCTCGTTAGACGGACGTACGTGGCAGACAGCAGTGTTGGTCATGGGACGGTAACGTAGGACATACAATAGACGTGGATTGCGAGGCAGAAGGAGCACCAGAAGGAGCACAGCAGATGCAACGCATATCAGGTGAGTTGATGTTGAGAATACATGATGACCTCAGTATATTAGATTAATTTATATTTTTGGTATGTTTTCTTGGTATTTTGTCCAAGTTCCATGTACATTGTCAGGGCCAGCAACCAGGTCAGATGACAATACAATGGTGCCTTGGTTGATAGCACAAGTTTCAATTTCTATTTAATAAGTTTTGACCTGTGTATCGCTTCCTTTACTTTGTACCCAAAACCATTCGTCCGTCTACTTATTTAGGCCGCGGATCAGCAAGCATAAACATCGCCACAGGATGACGATAGTGCGCATAAAATGCAAATGTATGTCCAACAACTAATCAATCTGAAGTAAGCATTGTCATTCCATTTTGTCAGTCACAATCGCTGTTCAAATTTCCACGTAGGTCGTCTGAGGCAAGCTTCTCCTGGTTATTGGGTCGGCTGACGAGGTGATTTCCTGGTACCAAGCCAAGGAAACCAGAAACCAGAACAGATTAAACAACGGGAGCCAGCCTCCGCTATTAGAGTGCGTAAGAATAAACCGTCACCGATCAATCGACGTCACTTCACAACTACAATATTGTATTCCGTTACGGACTGGCCTCCGCCTCCGCATTGTACATCCGCATCGACCATGATGGAAACATCACCAACACTTGCATCCCATACGCCCTACTGTATCACAAACAAGACTCCCTCGAACTCATACAGACTGTTCGTCATATGGTCCGCCTTCTCCAGATCGGCAGGGCTTGCCTTATCCGCAGCTGGCTCTACAAATTAGAGATCAACCCGCCACCACGGCAGAGTAAAGAGCACAATCACAAAACTTGTAGAGTCGAAACACTGGCCGTTCCCAGAGACATCAAATGACGCAAAGAGCTTGCACGACGACGGCCAAATCTGTTGGCCTCGTCTTGCCTGGATGCCGCCCACCTTTGATTTCATTCCGTCCAGCTGGACGCAGAGCGACCGCACCACTGCCCATCCACCCCCTTCGTCCATTGTACGTCCTGTGCCTCAATATGCGGTCATCTCGACGAAAGCAGAAAGTCGCAAAGTGCCTCACGTATTGGCTTTCCTTTTCCACGTCGATCACGGACATCATTCAACAGACGCCGTCCTTCCGAAGCACACGTCGTCCCCTGTCCTCGGTGGCACAAGCAAGGATGCAGCGATACGCCACGCTTGTTTCTTGTTCGTCCACCACGCCTTGCTCCGTCTACCGCAGTGTCTGTTGCAGCCCGTCTTTTTATTGACCCTCGTCGTTGCCCGTGGTGTTTCCGCGTCATTCCGTTACACCATCGCAAGACCGTACGCCCTCCCTGCCGTATGATCCAACAACAGGACCCCATACAAGTCTTTGGCTGAGATGCCGGCCGCAAACTCTGGCGCCCTTTCATTTCCGTCATATCAGTCTCTCCAACAGCTCGCGTCTAGGGAGACCTACAACCTGCCCGCGAGAAGGCTGGCAGCGACGCGCGGTGGCGCCAAGAAAAAGGGGCCAGCAGAACTTGCACGTTGGCCCCAACATCTTGGTCAGGACAAAAGCGTACCAGAGAACAAGCATGCCAGATGTGTTCCCCAAAATCCCAAAGATATGCAATGGTCTCTCCCTGGGGCAACTGCTTGTCTCTCGCCTCGTTCGTAGCACCTTGGGACGGTTTGATCGGGAGAGGATGGATGCGTTGCGTGCTGTTCTAGCTGCATCGGGCGTCTTCTACTTCGGTCGCTCGTCCGCCAGGGATAGGTCGAGAACTTGGCGTAGCCGTCCGCCAACAGGAGTCTGGCGACTGTGGTGCTCTCGAAAAAGGAAGAAAAGTGCGCAACTGGCAGCGGTCGACGGACATGGCTTTGTCCCATTGGCACTACGAGGAGACTTGGTCGCCAAAGCCCCAACAGCCTCGGCTCGTCTTTTGTTGCGTCGTATTGCCTTGCAACCAGGCGCGTTGGCAAGTGGTGGTCCAACAAAGCAAAGTGTGCATGACGAAGGGCGCCTGTCGTTCTCGAGATTGTCCTGCTGTATGTTGGTCGTCTGTTCCACCACTCTGGTCTCTGTGGCGCTGTTGCCAGGGAGAACGACAAGGCGCGCTTCGACGGCTTCTCGGGTTGTGTTCGTTTGAAAAGAACCTTTTCTTCGGGAGCAAGGGAGGACGAAGGCTGACGAGAGAACAGCGGAATGACAGGACGGTGCTGTCCCAAGAAAGAAAAATGCCCAGCAGCCCTGTCAGTTCAACCAAGTCGTGTCCTGTTGGGCGCCGTTGACCGAGCGGTCAAAGGGGGGAGACGCAGCACTGGAACCGCCCAAGGGAGAAACCGATGAATAGAAATGGCGAGAAGGCCGGCAGGACGTACGAGCTCGCCCAACGAGGAATACGAGGAACCTGTCTTGCTCTCTTAGACGTGCCAACGGACACCAACCGCTGCATCCTCGGCCGTTGCGTGTCGATGTCCCACCAACAACCGAGGTCACCTCGTTGTCGACGAGTTACAAGTGCATTTCCGCATATAACACATGAACATAAATAAAGAAATAAAATACAAACGTCATCGTGGACAACCGCCGGTCGCTGCGGATGGTGAGAAAGAGGCACAGCAGACCGTTGAATGCTCCGTAGCGCCGCCCAGTGATGCAAGGGATGGGATGACGTTTGAACGCCTTTGACGGTAAGCAAAGCGGAGAGGCCATGTCCGGATCGGGCTAAAAGTAAACATTGGCGGCAGGCAAACACAAAGACATTTGACCTCACGGTGGCTTCGCACGGCCTGGCTCCGGTCCATACACTATTGAAGCCTCGGTGCGCTGGATTTTTTTATTTATTTTTTGCCTATATTCTTTTTAATTCCTTCTTATCACTTCTAGTCTACGTCCATTGTGACACTGCAGATAGTTTTGTTGAATTTCTCGTTTTATTTCTTCTTGACTTATTTACTCCCTCGTTCTGGCCCAACTCTTAAATGAGAACAATACCAAGAGACTCGCTTTCTTCCAACCCCGACGCCGACCATAAAGGTCAGCAAGTCAAGCGAACGCCAACGATGCTCCCTCACACGATTGGTCGTTTCGTTGACTTCATTGATTTCAACGACCCAGGACGTCCGAAGCCAAGTCCGGTGCATTTCAGATAAAGAACATCATACTAGGCGACGCTTTCAAAACACGGCCTCGGTCAGGTTCGAGAACCGAGTCTCTCCTTTGTTTAATGGCTGGTATTATGATTCGTCGCTTCTTCCTCGGCGAGTTGTTTTGTAGTGTTTTGTTCAGCGCATGCAACGTAGAGATCGGACAATGCCGGCTCAAACATCACACACCACGGCTCTCTCTTAGTACAGCTGATAAGGGAGATGTCACTGAGAGACTGAGAATGCCATTTTACAGTCTCTCCTGTCTCCACGCTCTCCGTGATCGGTCATGGCAAAACATTAACAGACATCAGAAGCCATAAGACGGGAAAAAAGACGGCAAGCGGTGCGGATGATACGAAATAAAAAGAAGAAGAAGAAAAAGAAAAGAAGCAAAAGAAAGAAAAGAAAAGACGACGACAAGATGACACAGACGGGATCGACGGATAATCGACGGCGACAAGCACGGGGCGGTAGGACAACCAACTCAGCCTATCTGCAACCTGCACCTACGTGTCGTGGGTCGTGGGGGTGAGCACTATGCCCTGTGCCTCTTATCAATCTCTTTTTGTTATTAAAGATGAGCGCGAGCATTCATCCGCCCGTTTTCTTTTTTTTCTTCGCCGCTTTTCTTGCGTTTTGTGTGGTCGACGATGGCCCGTTTCATCTTTGTTTAGAGAGGGCAAAGGGCGTCGGAAAAGGTTCCGCTCCAACGGCACCAAATCATTGGTCAACAAAAAAGGCGACGATGCTGTCTTCCATCTCTTTGATATGATTGTGGTGGCCTGGCATTTCAGTATGTTTTTTTGTGCCGTTTCGTTCTTTCTACACGCCCTCGTGATAGAAAGGGTGGCCAAATCATATTATACACGATATTGAAACACCCGACACATGGCAAAGAAAGAATCAGACGTGGACGTAAAAGAGTGAAGAGATCTTGAGATAATGACGCAGGTAATGCCATTGGGCATATCAACAAAAAAGAAAAGAAAAAGAAAAAGGACAAAAAAGCTGGTCAGCATACCACTGCAAAGCCTTTTCGATATTGCACTCTTGTGCCGTCACGTCATCGCGTCTGGGCCATTACAGCCGTATAGAGTGCACAGGTGGCATAGGCAATCAACATACACATCTAGATGGGACCGAACGGAAACTATGGAAAGCGTGGAAGCGTAGACGTGTGGTGGAGGCAGCAGCGTCACAGACCAGCGGCCCATCAGCTTCGGTGCCGACCATGAGGCGAAGAACGAACAACGAAACAAAACAGCGACACCACAACCATATAAAATATATTGATAGACACCCATTGTCCGAGGAAGGGTCTTTTAGGTTTTCCCTTTCCCGTAGGATCTGCTGCACGGCCATACTTGATGCGGCCGGAAAGCAAAGCATACAGGGGGTCCATTTGCTGGGACGGCAACCAAGAGATCGTGCGATAGATTGCGCCGACCAGACATTTTCCGGTCTTGCTGTTCTGTCCATCTGTCTATATTGCATTTCTTTCCACGGCGGCCCGTGATTGGTGCAAGATTGTTGGATTGTTGAATTTTTGGGTTTGTTTCTTGACGTGTTTACAGTGTTTAAAGGAAATAGATTGAATAGATTGAATAGATTGCACGATCAACGTTTAGATTGGACAACATAAATTGAAATGTTTCCTCTTGTTATTGGTCCCTTCTTTTCGGGTATAGTACGTCTTTGTTTCTATTTCCTTTCATCACGTACGTCGTCTCCTGTGAATTCGAATGTCTGTCGGA